GGCAGACTTCTTCAATGCAGAATAAACCAAAACCTCAGGATAAGTGTGGACTAAAGGACACAGAAATATATAATACCTGCTGGACCCCTGGTGACTGTGATTATAAGTAGACTTTAATTGGTTGACCTCTCTAATTTCTGAGTAAGCAAAGGACAAAAATATCATCTCTTCCCACAGGAGTGCACAGCTGTAGCTTGCACACCTTTAATTCTTTCCTTGTTGTGAGGTAGATGTTTTTAAAAATTACCCTGCACAGGTATTTCAGACAACATGTCTCTTAAATTTTTTGCTAAATGAATAACTTATTGCAAATCACCTCATAAGTTATCTTGTTAGATTTCCTACATCCTTCAGCTTTCCTTTCTGTACACACACATCAAGAAAGGTAGTATTGCATAGGTGTAAATCGGGCTAGAATTAGCTTGTATGATCTGCTGTAGAAATATGCTTTAGATAAGGTAAAAAGTCTTTAAGGATTAATTCTAGGTTTCTGCACATGTGGTATTTACTCTCCACGCTGCTATAAGCATTGAGGTATGAAAACAAAGAGATTGGTATTTTTAAGAAAGTCTACATTGAAAATACAATTTTTATTTCGATCACAGTCCTGCTCCAGATATAATCAGCATTAAAATTATTGTTTTCTGAAATGTGGCTAGTTCTATAATTAAAATAATAAGACGGACTAAGTAAGAGTAGGGAAAAAACACTGCTGCTGTACTGCTGTCTGGACACAGCCATAGAAATTTCACAGGCAGTTATTATTGCATTTTACATTCATCCTGTTGTAATGAGATAGTTTTGAAATTATAATGTTCAGATAGTAAAACTGAGAAGGGCCCCAGCATTTACGAAGCAGATAGTAATCTTCCCTTCACTCTGATGCATTTGCAGAGTTTATCTATCCTGCTGTAACATTCCTGCCCCAGAGCTGCAAGTTCAGCCACAAGTTTTACTTTTCAAAACATACACAGGGTTCTTTACTATCTCGAGATACTGTAAAGAGAAGAGGCCACACACTTTTCCTCAAGACTACTTTTACTGATAATTTTAGGGGAAAAAATAAGACAACTTGGCATCCAAAGGGTGTCATACTATCAAAACAAAGCATATGCCTTTGCTTTTATCTGCTCTAGTCCTCATGGCCACCTCCCTAGCTGGGACTTGAGGCCCACTGGCCATTCTGGGGTTCCAGGGTGAGGGGCAGTGTTCTCACTGTCCCTGCCAACATGAGGCTGGGTTAGGGGCTGCAGGAGCTGTGGTGTGTTGAAGCATTCCTGGACTGCCTTTGACTGACAGCTGCTCCGGGGGCTCCAGGGGCCTGCCATGAGGGATACGTCACCATCTCACCTCCGTGAGGTTCGACCCATTCCTTCCCCTCCACACACACACACACACACCCACACCCCTCCGAGGTGGTTCCAACCCAACAATATTTTTACTGATTCAGTGTCTCACACCTCCCAGAACAAATCACTGGGAATATCCTGTATTTGACATCGGTTCACTTTCAGTGTGGCCACCACTCTGGAGGGTGCAGCTGGGGGAGCAAATGATAAGGAAAGGATAGGGAGTGTGTTGGACGTAGGGAATTTCAGAAGAAACATATATAAAAAAAGAATTTTCTGCTAGTATGATTGAAATATTAGCAGTCTAATCCAAGCATCAATAATAGTTCAAATCTAATAATTATGGAAGAAAGAGAAAGAATATTTCAATGCAGTAAAAGCTTCAATAGTAATATAATAATGAAAAGGATGCGGTTACAATTATTTTCACCCTGTTTAGCTTCTAGATCCTTTCTGCCTCACTCTTTCCATGCTCCTCCTAAGGTTGATGGTTTCATTTTGGGGATTCCTGTTGAGGGGGAGTTTTGGCCCATTGCCAGCATCTGGAGTTATTTGCTGGAGGAGTACAAGGTTCTTGATGGTGTTTTCCTCTCCCTCATTTTAGGACCCACATGGGGTCGCATTTACATATTTACTAACACACTTTTACACCTTCTTCTTTTTTCATTGCTCTTCAGCTCCACATTACATTTGAATTTATGATATATGGTGCATTTTAAATGTGTTAGAAATACTTGTTCTTTTTTCTCTCTATTGCCCCTAAAGCCACTTTTGGCTAGCACCTGCTTGTTCACCTTATGCAGCTTGTAGAGATCAAGGAAAGCTCAGCTGGAGCAAGCCTTCCCCTGAGGCCTACAAAGCTCAGTACAAAGCTTCTTAGTGACAATGGCAATACTATAGTACAGGTTTGCGTTGTAATAACTGGTAGTCTGCAGTCCATTCCCCCTGTGCAACATCCAGCCATTAATCAGGGATGTTTGAAGGCACATCCTGCCCACCCTTTGAGTAGCCACCTCTGGGTGTGTTTTGAATTTTCTTTATAAGACATTTTAATCAGACATAATTCCAGAGAAGAAAAAATTAATTTTTTTCAGAGATAAGTTGACTCAAACCGGTGTTTCTCCTTGTTCTTCATGTTATAGGTAAATAAACCAAATCAAAATTTAGCAGTAAAATTTATTGTGAGATTTATATAAAGTGCAGATAAGCAAATCAGCGCGCTAGGTGGCCTGAGGAGACCCCTGCTCCCCACCGGCCCACAGGCCCAATAAAAACAAACAGCAACTTTTATACTTTTTCAACTCCCCCTCCCATAGTCACTTGTTAGCTCTTGATTGGGCTTGGGTTCGCGGGCTTTGTTCTGGTTGGTTCTGTTGTAGGCCCATTTCAATTGCCAGGGACTTTTCCATCAATAGCTTTAATTAGCCCAGTGTCCTTGGAGCTGAATATGGGAAGGTATCCAGATGGTCCAGATGTTCTCCTTGGCTCTTCTTTATCATTTCCATCCTTGACCCTCTGATCCTCGTTCTTTTCTTCTTTTCTAATGAGTAACTAAGACAATATTTTTAGAAAAGCAGGATATCATATACGTGCTCAGTAAAGTAGAATACTTTATCTTTGCCAACTTAGGAACTGCCAGTTGCAGGACAGTCAACTTATAATAATAATACAGCAGTTAACTATTCCGCAGTTTACAACTCCCTAGTCCCAACCAGGCATTAGCTATAATATACAGAAAATACAATATATATATTTTGACGAGTAAATTTTACCATTGCTTACTTATTACATTCAGATCTCCCAAATTAACTATGTGCTCCATTTGTTAAGGAAGAACTTTGTAAAAAGAAAGAAAGAGAGTGAATTCACTGTGTTTGTCACATCTTATAAAATCCATAAGAAAGGACCATTTCTTCTTAAATGTCTGTAAGAGACCAAGCATATATGATCATGTGGCTGGTATCTCACCCAAATTAGTTGGCAGGGGAACACTAATAAATCGGATTAGACAGGTAAACCTACTCTTCCTGTAATTTCAAATTGTTAGCTTTCGACAATCCTATTTCTGTCTGTCAAAGATATTCCAAGGTGTTCAGTGGTGGGTCACTTCATCTCAAACAACCAACCAAGGAAGAGGGAAGACAAAATGCAGATGACAGGGAGCACAGCTCACAAAGGGCTTGTGACTATTTAGTGGGGTTCGTGTGATTATCCCTAGTGAATATAACTTTATCATAGAATTATTCTCCCAGAATCATTTAGGTTGGAAAAAAAAATTAAGATCATCCAGACGGACCGTAAAATTGTGCTGAATTGAGACATCTATAGCTGAGCTAGTAATTCATTGCTTTCTTTATAGTTAAAGGAGAGAGAAAGGGTTGGATTTTTCAGGGTGCAGTTCATCCCATCCAACGCAGATGCTGTGGGACCTTGCAGTGCAATCCTTGGTGTGAAAGAAAATAAACACACTTTTCAGGAAACAGGGGATTTTATTCAAGTAACAGAAACATTTCACAAAGCACAGTGTCCTAGGTCTGTTTGCCGAGGTTTCAAAACTCACAGTAAAATCATCAGGAGCAGGGGAAGAGCTTTGAGTTTTATTGCTCTTGTCACCGTAGGGATTATGTTTCACAGAAATCTGTTAGACAGCCCTGAGTCTTAATATCTATATAGCACTTCTGTTACTTGTTGGTGATGGGTCTTGCAGTGGAGCACTACAGCACTTCTTTTTTTCTTTGTCTTTGAAGGTGGGTATTTTTATGTTTTACATATTTATTATATTTATTATATATTTTTGTTGTATATATTTATTATATATATTTGCAACCTACGAACCCTCAGCCTGCTCATCGTCAGGTAGAAGGGGTAGAAAGTCTGTCCTTTCAGCAGAATTGCACCTTCTGCTCTCCAGAGGGCATCTTGGGGTGACAAAATTATTCAAGCCCAGCTGACCAAGTCATTATCTCCAAAGTCACAAGTTCACACCTGTTCTGGTCCCCTACCGGGGCCACAATTCCTGCTAGCAAATCTGCTCCAGGCTCCTGCTGGGAGCCTACTGCAGCACGAGCCTCCCACGAGGTCACAGCCTCCTTTCAGGCATCCATCTGCTCCAGCGTGGGGTCCTCCATGGGCTGCAGGTGGAGCTCTCCTGCACCATGAGCTTCCCTGGGCTGCAGGGGCACAGCTGTCCCACCATGATCTGCACCACGGGCTGCAGGGGAATCTCTGCTCCGTTGCCTGAGCACCTCCTTCCCCTCCTTCTTCACTGACCTTGGGGTCTTCAGGGCTGTTTCACATATTCTCACTTCTCTCTCCGTCTGCAGTTGCTGTTGTGCGCTGTTTCCCCCCCCCTTCCTAAGTTATCCCAGCTACACCCCAATGGACTCGGCCCTGCTCAGCGGCGGGTCGGTCTCGGAACCGGCTGTGGTGGCGCGTCACAAGCCCCCTCTGTGATGTCTCGGCGCTCCACGGCTGCTGTCCCGGCGCCAGACCCTTGCTGGCCGTCATTGCTGACTCCGCCGCGACGGGATCAGCAGCGCTTCTCGGGCTTGGACCGTCGGGGGCTGCGAAGCGCAGCTTCCACGCGGATCTCGCCTTTCAGATTTGCCCATCCTCTCCCCACACCCCCTCCCCCTCTCCGCCCGGGACTCGGCAGAGTCTGCCGGGCATCTCCTGTGTCTGTTGAACCCAGGCCGAGGCCGCCGAACGCCGAGAGATGGCCTGGGTCGACCTGCACAGCGCGGCCGCCCGCGGCGACCTGGACCAGCTGCGGCGGCACTGGTGGCTGAAGAAATTCTTCATCAACAGGCGCAACGCTGACAAGCTGTAAGGACAAACAGCAAAGCCTCCACCTTTTGCAAAACGTGGAATTTGTCAAAATTATCTGAAGTCAGGGTGGTTTTTTGATGGATGTACTTTGTGTACTTTCAAGCCTAAGCAGCAACAAAGGATACCATCAGTGGAACAGACAGCATCTAGCATCCCTTAGTATTACTTATTTTATTTCTTTTGTTTTAATTATTACTCTATTTTAACTGTTATTAAAGGTTTTACTTTTGATTCTCCTCCCTGTTTCACTGGGGTGGGGAGGGAGAGGGTGTGAGCAAGTAGCTGTGTGGGGCTTAATTGTCAGCTGGGCTTAAACCGGGACAATTGTGTATGTTTAATTTCTAGGACACCTCTGCATCTTGCTTGCATAAATGGCCATGCAGATATTGTTCGGTTTCTAGTAGGCAAGAATTGCAAGCTAAATCCTGGTGACAAATATAAGAGATCACCACTGATGCTGGTATGTGAAAGGGGCATATGTTGTCTTATGATTGAAGATGCTTGAACTTTCCAGTGTTGGGAAGACGCAGGAGTTCTGACAGAGAACAGTGTAGATGTTGGAAGTTATTCCTCCTTTGTGTCTTGTTTCCAGGCAGTACAGCACCAGCACAGAGATTGTGTGGCTACTCTGCTGGAGCATGGTGCCAACCGTGCCCACAGAGCTGCTACTGGTAACACCGCCCTTCACTTTGCTGTTCTGATGTCTAACAAATCTCTAGTGGAGCTGTTACTAGAGCATGGCGCAGATATTGATGTTAAGAATGAAGTAAGCTTGGACTTTAGGTAAACCTCCTCTTCCCAAGTCAACTTGCTTGACTTTTCTCTGTTATTCTAAGAGAGATGATTTTTCCTTTCAGCTGGGATACACTCCACTTACTCTTGCGATCACCGAGCGTTGCAAAGGGATGATCGAGTTCCTTCTTCAAAAAGGAGCTGACGTGAATGCTACAGATAATCATAAAAGGTGAAGGATTTGGTAAAAGCACGTGTGGGACTCCTTAGCATTGTTTAAGTTGGATTGATGGGAGGCATAAGAATGAGCTTTGAAAAAGGGTCAGGAACCACCCAGAAGGAGCTCCTTCAGTGTGACTTGTGAAAGCAGACCTGCGCTCTGCTGCTTGCTTACTTCAGGGGATGATTTCCACACTGAGGACTGCAAGAAAGCGTTGTCTGCGGTCCCACATGCACACGCGCGCGCGCAGGCACACACACGCGACCTGAGTCTGCTCTGGGTGGGTGGCTGGCCTGGAGACCTCCTGAGGTCCCACCAACCTGAATTCTCCAACACTTCCAGGTGTTTGGCTGTGCTTTCCTTCTGCCAGTAGGAGAGGGGAAATGAATTGTCTGAGAAGCAAAGAGGGATTAAAGTAATGATATGTAATGCCTGCAGAAGCTGATGTATTTACTCTTATCTCCTGGATGCCCTAGGACCCCTATGGAAGTTGCTGCTATTCTTCAGGATAAGGATGCAGTAGAAGTTCTTCTTCGCAATGGCGGTGTTATCAATAAAGAAGACACTGGACTGTTTGGAGTTCGAGCTTTTGAAAGACTATTTCGAGATGAGCTGTAAGTGTTTTACATCCTTGTTAGAGCAACTGCATTCTCAGAATGTCCGTGCTGATGTACAGCCCTTTTTGGTAACAGCAGCAGGGTTAAATGAGGTGCTGAGAGCTTTATCGAAGTGTGACACCTTCTGATGCATCTCTTTCCATGTAAAGGGTAGATTTGGGAATTGAGGAAAACATCCCTCCTCCCCACCAAACCCAGTTCTCTTTGAGAATTCACCTGTGTGCTTCCAAGTTCTATTCTACTCCCTAGCAGCAACTACCTGCCTTTTGTTTCAGAGGGGATCTAACTGATATCCCCTAATTAAAACTCTTCAGTGCTTTTCCTCTTCCCGTGGATAGCTTTGCACCTCTGGCCATTCACTGGCCAAGGTGGCTATGTGTGCTTAACTAGACTGAGGAAAAAAGCCCTCTATCGTAGTGATGGTAGCCAAGGGATGTGTGAATGAATTGCATTATGCCTATGAGCATGCCTTGCCTAGCCATAAACAACTGCCTGTGAACTCTTGTCACTGGATCTCAATTTCCTCTCCCCCTGCCCCTTCTGTTAGCCTGTCTTGATGGGAAGCAGGAGAGAAGGGAGCCTGGGTAAACTGTGGAGTAAAAACCCCTTTAGGACTAAAGCATGTTTGAGGATTGCTCTAACAAAACAAGGTATTCATTCCTCCCCTCCAGGCTTCTGTTGTGCTAATGCACCATTCTGCAGAGCAGCCTTGGTCTGGAGAATGTGTTTAATTTCTTTTGTTGTTTGATTGGGGTTTTTTTGTTTTGTATTCCTGCTCATGAAACAAACCTGACCTCCAACTGACCCAAGGTTGTTAGAATGTGACACAGGTCTCAGAATGCAAGTGCAGTATTTGTTGGCCTCTTAATATCCGACTTAGGAGCCCTCTGAACTTCAGGTCTTCAGAGGAACCATGGGAATTTCTGAAGCCCTTCAAAGTGAGGACTGGGGTTGAGGAGACGTTGCTCCATCTTAGTGTTGAGACATTAGTATAACATCCAGCTGAGGAAGAGGCTTTGGAGATGTCAGCCTGCCAGGGGCCTAGTTAATCTCCCTGGTCCTTGAAATGGAGAGGGGGTCTATCAGATGAGACAGTAGCCAGCAGGGGTGAGTTACTCCACAGATAGAATAGGCACCTGTAGCATGAGCATGCCTGTAGTGAGGATTTCAGTCTCCACTACTCTAGGACTGCAGTATGTTTTGTGTGTGTGTGACCCTTTAGCGGTTGTCTAGGAATAGGGTTAGAATGGCACATGCATGGCTGTTGCTCTTCCCGTGGAGAGTGCAGGAAAGTCTGGGGGCATTTTTACCTATTGCATTTCCTCCCTTTCTATGTTTAGTATTGCTAATGAAGGAGAGGAATATGAATGCTCTGAAAGGAAGGGACAATGTTCTGCCAGAGGCACAGAAGAAATTAACAGCTCTTGCTCTGGGACAACTGCTGACATTCTCTCAAATACACCTGCATTGCCAGAATTATGTAAGACTCTTCACTATCAAGGAGGTAAGAAGGAAAAATCAATGTGGCCTGTAGGAGAATGATAACCCACCAGTGTGATGCATGTCTTGAGGGAGGTGCCAAAGCAGAGGAAAATCAGCACTCCAAGGAGTGATGCGACTCTTCTCATATTTGTTAGGTGTCTTACCAGAAGTGAGAGAAGAGCAGAAGAAAGACAAAGACTCCTCCTGGGATTCTGAGGTACCTTCTCTAGAGGAGGCAGTGGGGTCCCTCTGAATCACTGGCTTCTGGGATCATTACTGTCTGCAGCTGCTTTTGCCAAATGCTTGTAAGTCAGACCTTGACATGCCAGTGCTGCAGACAAACTGTTCCGTTAGGACTGGGACAAAGTGAGGTTCAGCTGGTTCTCCTTGCAGCTGACCTCCAAGCTGGATTTCTAAAAAAGGACAAAGCAGTAAAGTTTCTGTTAGAAGACTGGCTTGGTGAAGATTGTTGATTTTCTATCATACCGCAAACATCTTCCACTCCAGTCACTGTCAATTGGTTCCCATATGACTCACAGTCTAGAGACTTCTTTCTTCTGCCTGCATTCTCTCTGGATTGGACAGGAGTACTTCATCCCCTTTGGAAAGCCCTGCTCAAGAGAGATGCTGAACGTGCTGGCTGTGTTTGCCTCTTTTGTTGCTTCCATCACCTGATCCCGCTTGTTAGGTCTTTTGGCTAAAGCAGAAGTGTTGTGCGTGGAAGTGGGTTGAGAAGGAGCCTTTGCCAGTTCTCAGACGTGTCTTTTCAATTTCACAGACTGATTCCAAAGGTCAAGGGAAAGTGTCCGCTGACCCAACGCTTCCTGCTGCAGTGGGCAAGAGTTTGGATACGCGCTCTGTTGCGGTGGAGCACGGCAAAGGTAATTTCAGAGGGACTAAATGGTTACCTTTGTAAAGTGGGGTGACATGGCTGGGGAGAAAGCAGAGTGAAATAAGCCCTCAGAGTAATGACAAACCTGTTATCTTTTGTTAGGGGCCTTGTCAGCAGCAGAAGAGCAGAAGGAAGACAGTGACTCTCCCTGGGATTCTGAGGTACCTACTTTGGAGGAGGCAGTGAGGTCCCGCTGGATCCATGGCGTGTGGGCTCCTTTCCCTTTGCTGCTGCTTTTGCCACATGCTTGCACCTTGGACCTGGACATGCCAGTGCTGCAGACCAAGTGTTCAGTTAGTGCTGGGACAAAGTGAGGTCAAGCTAATGTCCTGGGTCTCCTTGCAGCTGACCTGCAAGCTGGATTTCTAGAACAAAGCAGTAAAGCTTCTTGCTGCTTACAATCTCCTAAAATCCTAGAAAACTCGTATAGTGAGGATTGCTGTTTTCGACCCCAAAGCCTCCTTCCCTGGATCCATTAATGTCATATGGATGACTGTTATGACCTCCAGTCTGGAGATGTGTTTCTTCTGCCTAGGTTCTCTCTGCATTGGGCAGGAGTACTTCATCCCCTTTGGAAAGCCCTGCTCAAGAGAGATGCCGAATGTGCTGGCTGTGTTTGCCTCTTTTGTTGCTTCTGCCAGCGGATCCTGCTCATTAGGCCTGTTGCCTGAAGCAGAAGTGTTGTGCGTGGAAGTGGGTTGAGAAGGAGCCTTTGCCAGTTCTCCGACGTGTCTTTTAAATTACACAGACTGATTCTGACGGTCCCTGGGATGTGTCGAAAAATGTGCTGTTTCCTGCTGCATTCGGCAATAGATTGGACGCGCGTGCTGTGTTAGTACGGAGCGGCAAAGGTAATTTCAGAGAGACTAAATGGTTACCTTTGTGAACTTCTCTGGGGTGACATGGCTGGGGAGAAGCAGAGTGAAATAAGCACTCAAAAACATGCCTGTTACCTTTTGTATAGGAGCCTTGCCAGCAGCAGAAGAGCAGAAGGAAGACAGTGACTCCCCCCGGGATACTAAGGTACCTTCTCTGGAGGAGGCAGTGAGGTCCCGCTGGATCAATGGCGTCTGGGCTCCTTTCCCTTTGCTGCTGCTTTTGTCACACGCTTGCACCTTGGACCTGGACATGCCATTGCTGTAAAGTGTTCAGTTAGTGCTGGGACAAAGTGAGGTCAGCTACTGTCCTGGGTCTCCTTGCAGCTGACCTCCCAGCTGGATTTGTAGAACAAAGCAGTAAAGCTTCTTGCTGCTTGCAGTCCTCTGAAATCCTACAAGACTGGCACTGTGAGGATTGCTGTTTTCCACCTCCTAGCCTGCTTCCCTGGATCCATTAATGTCAAATGGTTCCCTTACGACGTACAATCTGGAGTTGTATTTCTCCTGCCTCGGTTCTCTTTGCATTGGGCAGGAGTACTTCATCCCCTTTGGAAAGCCCTGCTCAAGAGAGATGCTGAACGTGCTGGCTGTGTTTGCCTCTTTTGTTCCTTCCGTCACCTGATCGTGCTCTTTAGGCCTTTTGGCTAAAGCAGAAGTGTTGTGCGTGGAAGCGGGTTGAGAAGGAGCCTTTGCCAGTTCTCAGACGTGTCTTTTCAATTACACAGACTGATTCCAAAGGTCAAGGGAAAGTGTCAACCAACCTGACACTTCCTGCTGCAGTGGGCAAGAGTTTGGATGCTCACTCTGTTGCAGTGGAGCACGGCAAAGGTAATTTCAGAGGGACTAAATGGTTACCTTTGTGAATTTCTCTGGGGTGACATGGCTGGGGAGAAAGCAGAGTGAAATAAGCCCTCAGAGTAATGACCAACCTGTTATCTTTTGTTAGGGTTCTTGCCAGCAGCAGAAGACCAGAAAGAAGACAATGAGTTTTCCTGGGGAGATGATGACTTTTCCTGGCTTTTGGAGGTAGCTGTTCTGGAGGGGGCAATGAGTTTCTTCTGGATCCATGGCGTCTGGGCTCCTTTCCCTTTGCTGCTGCTTGGGCAACATGCTTGCACCTTGGGCCTGGACATGCCAGTGCTGCAGACAAACGGTTCAGTTAGTGCTGGGACAAAGTGAGGTCAGCTAATGTCCTGGGTCTCCTTGCAGCTGACCTCCCAGCTGGATTAATAGAACAAAGCAGTAAAGCTTCCCGCTGCTTGCAGTCCTCTGAAATCCTCCAAGACTGGCATTGTGAGGATTGTGTTTTCCACCTCCTAGCCTGCTTCCCTGGATCCATTAATGTCAAATGGTTCCCTTACGACCTGCAGTCTGGAGATGTATTTCTCCTGCCTAGGTTCTCTCTGCATTGGGCAGGAGTACTTCATCCCCTTTGGAAAGCCCTGCTCAAGAGAGATGCCGAACGTGCTGGCTGTGTTTGCCTGTTTTGTTGCTTCCGTCACCTGATCGTGCTCTTTAGGCCTTTTGGCTAAAGCAGAAGTGTTGTGCGTGGAAGTGGATTGAGAAGGAGCCTTTGCCAGTTCTCAGACGTGTCTTTTAAATTCCACAGACTGATTCCAAAGGTCAAGGGAAAGTGTTGCCCAACTTGACACTTCCTGCTGCAGTGGGCAAGAGTTTGGATGCGCGCTCTGTTGCAGTGGAGCACGGCAAAGGTAATTTCAGAGGGACTAAATGGTTACCTTTGTAAAGTTCTCTGGGGTGACATGGCTGGGGAGAAAGCAGAGTGAAATAAGCCCTCAGAGTAATGACATGCCTCTTACGTCTTTTGTTAGGGCTCTTGCCAGCAGCAGGAGAAGAGCAGAAGGAAGACAATGACTCCCCCTGGGATTCTGAGGTACCTGCTCTGGAGGTGGCAGTGAGGTCCCGCTGGATCAATGGCTTCTGGGCTCCTTTCCCTTTGCTGCTGCTTTTGCCCCACGCTTGCACCTTGGACCTGGACATGCCAGTGCTGCAGACAAAGTGTTCAGTTAGTGCTGGGACAAAGTGAGGTCAAGCTAATGTCCTGGGTCTCCTTGCAGCTGACCTCCCAGCTGCATTTGTAGAAGAAAGCAGTAAAGCTTCTTGCTGCTTGCAGTCCTCTGAAATCCTCCAAGACTGGCACTGTGAGGATTGCTGTTTTCCACCTCCTAGCCTGCTTCCCTGGATCCATTAATGTCAAATAACCTACAGTCTGGAGATGTATTTCTCCTGCCTCGGTTCTCTCTGCATTGGGCAGGAGTACTTCATCCCCTTTGGAAAGCCCTGCTCAAGAGAGATGCCGAACGTGCTGGCTGTGTTTGCCCATTTTGTTGCTTCAGCCACCTGATCCCGCTCGTTAGGCCTGTTGGCTGAAGCTGAAGTGCTGTGCGTGGAAGTGGGTTGAGAAGGAGCCTTTGCCAGTTCTCAGACGTGTCTTTTCAATTCCACAGACCGATTCTGAAGGTCCAGCAGAAAGTGTGCTGCTTCCTGCTGCAGTGGGCAAGACTTTGGATGCGCGCTCTGTTGCAGTGGAGCACGGCAAAGGTAGTTTTAGAGGGACTAAATGGTTACCTTTGTAAAGTTCTCTCTTTGTAAAGTGGGGTGACATGGCTGGGGAGAAAGCAGAGTGAAATAAGCCGTCAGAGTAATGACCAACCTGTTATCTTTTGTTAGGGGCCTTGACAGCAGCAGAAGAGCAGAAGGAAGACAATGACTCCCCCTGGGATTCTGAGGTACCTGCTCTGGAGGTGGCAGTGAGGTCCCAGTGGATCAATGGCGTCTGGGCTCCTTTCCCTTTGCTGCTGCTTTTGCCCCACGCTTGCACCTTGGACCTGGACATGCCAGTGCTGCAGACAAACTGTTCAGTTAATGCTGGGACAAAGGGAGGTCAAGCTAATGTCCTTGCAGCTGACCTGCAAGCTGGATTTCTAGAACAAAGCAGTATAACTTCTTGCTGCTTGCAGTCCTCTGAAATCCTATAAGAATGGCATTGTGAGGATTGTGTTTTCCACCTCATAGCCTGCTTCCCTGGATCCATTAATGTCAAATGGTTTCGTTATGACCTACAGTCTGGAGATGTATTTCTCCTGTCTAGGTTCTCTCTGCATTAGGCAGGAGTACTTCATCCCCTTTGGAAAGCTCTGCTCAAGAGAGATGCTGAACGTGCTGGCTGTGTTTGCCTGTTTTGTTGCTTCCGTCACCTGATCGTGCTCATTAGGCCTTTTGGCTAAAGCAGAAGTGTTGTGCGTGGAAGTGGGTTGAGAAGGAGCCTTTGCCAGTTCTCAGACGTGTCTTTTAAATTACACAGACTGATTCCAAAGGCCAAGGGAAAGTGTTGCCCAACTTGACACTTCGTGCTGCAGTGGGCAAGAGTTTGGATACGCGCTCTGTTGGAGTGGAGCACGGCAAAGGTAATTTCAGAGGGACTAAATGGTTACCTTTGTAAAGTTCTCTGGGGTGACATGGCTGGGGAGAAAGCAGAGTGAAATAAGCCATCAGAGTAATGACCAACCTGTTATCTTTTGTTAGGGGTCTTGCCAGCAGCAGGAGAAGAGCAGAAGGAAGACAGTGACTCCCCCTGGGATTCTGAGGTACCTGCTCTGGAGGAGGCAGTGAGGTCCCGCTGGATCAATGGCTTTTGGGCTCCTTTCCCTTTGCTGCTGCTTTTGCCACATGCTTGCACCTTGGACCTGGACATGCCAGTGCTGCAGACAAAGTGTTCAGTTAATGCTGGGACAAAGTGAGGTCAAGCAAATGTCCTGGGTCTCCTTGCAGCTGACCTCCCAGCTGCATTTGTAGAACAAAGCAGTAAAGCTTCTTGCTGCTTGCAGTCCTCTGAAATCCTCCAAGACTGGCACTATGAGGATTGCTGTTTTCCACCTCCTAGCCTGCTTCCCTGGATCCATTAATGTCAAATAACCTACTGTGTAGAGATGTATTTCTCCTGCCTTGGTTCCCTCTGCATTGGGCAGGAGTACTTCATCCCCTTTGGAAAGCTCTGCTCAAGAGAGATGCTGAACGTGCTGGCTGTGTTTGCCTGTTTTGTTGCTTCCGTCACCTGATCGTGCTCATTAGGCCTTTTGGCTAAAGCAGAAGTGTTGTGCGTGGAAGTGGGTTGAGAAGGAGCCTTTGCCAGTTCTCAGACGTGTCTTTTCAATTCCACAGACTGATTCTGAAGGTCCAGCAGAAAGTGTGCTGCTTCCTGCTGCAGTGGGCAAGAGTTTGGATGTGCGCTCCGTTACAGTGGAGCACGGCAAAGGTAATTTCAGAGGGACTAAATGGTTACCTTTGTAAAGTTCTCTCTTTGTAAAGTGGGGTGACATGGCTGGGGAGAAAGCAGAGTGAAATAAGCCCTCAGAGTAATGACATGCCTCTTACCTCTTTTGTTAGGGGTCTTGCCAGCAGCAGCAGAAGACCAGAAAGAAGACAATGACTTTTCCTGGGGAGATGATGACATTTCCTGGCTTTTGGAGGTAGCTGTTCTGGAGGGGGCAATGAGTTTCTTCTGGATCCATGGCGTCTGGGCTCCTTTCCCTTTGCTGCTGCTTGTGCCACATGCTTGCACCTTGGACCTGGACATGCCGGTGCTGCAGACAAACGGTTCAGTTAGTGCTGGGACAAAGTGAGGTCAAACTAATGTCCCTGCAGCTGACCTCCCAGCTGGATTTGTAGAACAAAGCAGTAAAGCTTCTTGCTGCTTGCAGTCCTCTGAAATCCTACAAGACTGGCACTGTGAGGATTGTGTTTTCCACCTCCTAGCCTGCTTCCCTGGATCCATTCATGTCAACTGGTTCCCTTACGACCTCCAGTCTGGAGATGTATTTCTCCTGCCTAGGTTCTCTCTGCATTAGGCAGGAGTAGTTCATCCCCTTTGGAAAGCCCTGCTCAAGAGAGATGCTGAACGTGCTGGCTGTGTTTGCCTCTTTTGTTGCTTCTACCACCTGATCGTGCTCATTAGGGCTTTTGGCTAAAGCAGAAGTGTTGTGCGTGGAAGTGGGTTGAGAAGGAGCCTTTGCCAGTTCTCAGACGTGTCTTTTAAATTACACAGACTGATTCCAAAGGCCAAGGGAAAGTGTCGACCAACTTGACACTTCCTGCTGCAGTGGGCAAGACTTTGGATGCGCGCTCTGTTGCAGTGGAGCACGGCAAAGGTAATTTCAGAGGGACTAAATGGTTACCTTTGTAAAGTTCTCTCTTTGTAAAGTGGGATGACATGGCTGGGGAGAAAGCAGAGTGAAATAAGCCGTCAGAGTAATGACAAACCTGTTATCTTTTGTTAGGGGCCTTGACAGCAGCAGAAGAGCAGAAGGAAGACAATGACTCCCCCTGGGATTCTGAGGTACCTGCTCTGGAGGTGGCAGTGAGGTCCCAGTGGATCAATGGCGTCTGGGCTCCTTTCCCTTTGCTGCTGCTTTTGCCACACACTTGCACCTTGGACCTGGACATGCCAGTGCTGCAGACAAACTGTTCAGTTAATGCTGGGACAAAGGGAGGTCAAGCTAATGTCCTTGCAGCTGACCTGCAAGCTGGATTTCTAGAACAAAGCAGTATAACTTCTTGCTGCTTGCAGTCCTCTGAAATCCTATAAGAATGGCATTGTGAGGATTGTGTTTTCCACCTCCTAGCCTGCTTCCCTGGATCCATTAATGTCAAATGGTTTCGTTATGACCTACAGTCTGGAGATGTATTTCTCCTGTCTAGGTTCTCTCTGCATTAGGCAGGAGTACTTCATCCCCTTTGGAAAGCTCTGCTCAAGAGAGATGCTGAACGTGCTGGCTGTGTTTGCCTGTTTTGTTGCTTCCGTCACCTGATCGTGCTCATTAGGCCTTTTGGCTAAAGCAGAAGTGTTGTGCGTGGAAGTGGGTTGAGAAGGAGCCTTTGCCAGTTCTCAGACGTGTCTTTTAAATTACACAGACTGATTCCAAAGGCCAAGGGAAAGTGTTGCCCAACTTGACACTTCGTGCTGCAGTGGGCAAGAGTTTGGATACGCGCTCTGTTGGAGTGGAGCACGGCAAAGGTAATTTCAGAGGGACTAAATGGTTACCTTTGTAAAGTTCTCTGGGGTGACATGGCTGGGGAGAAAGCAGAGTGAAATAAGCCATCAGAGTAATGACCAACCTGTTATCTTTTGTTAGGGGTCTTGCCAGCAGCAGGAGAAGAGCAGAAGGAAGACAGTGACTCCCCCTGGGATTCTGAGGTACCTGCTCTGGAGGAGGCAGTGAGGTCCCGCTGGATCAATGGCTTTTGGGCTCCTTTCCCTTTGCTGCTGCTTTTGCCACATGCTTGCACCTTGGACCTGGACATGCCAGTGCTGCAGACAAAGTGTTCAGTTAATGCTGGGACAAAGTGAGGTCAAGCAAATGTCCTGGGTCTCCTTGCAGCTGACCTCCCAGCTGCATTTGTAGAACAAAGCAGTAAAGCTTCTTGCTGCTTGCAGTCCTCTGAAATCCTCCAAGACTGGCACTATGAGGATTGCTGTTTTCCACCTCCTAGCCTGCTTCCCTGGATCCATTAATGTCAAATAACCTACTGTGTAGAGATGTATTTCTCCTGCCTTGGTTCCCTCTGCATTGGGCAGGAGTACTTCATCCCCTTTGGAAAGCTCTGCTCAAGAGAGATGCTGAACGTGCTGGCTGTGTTTGCCTGTTTTGTTGCTTCCGTCACCTGATCGTGCTCATTAGGCCTTTTGGCTAAAGCAGAAGTGTTGTGCGTGGAAGTGGGTTGAGAAGGAGCCTTTGCCAGTTCTCAGACGTGTCTTTTCAATTCCACAGACTGATTCTGAAGGTCCAGCAGAAAGTGTGCTGCTTCCTGCTGCAGTGGGCAAGAGTTTGGATGTGCGCTCCGTTACAGTGGAGCACGGCAAAGGTAATTTCAGAGGGACTAAATGGTTACCTTTGTAAAGTTCTCTCTTTGTAAAGTGGGGTGACATGGCTGGGGAGAAAGCAGAGTGAAATAAGCCCTCAGAGTAATGACATGCCTCTTACCTCTTTTGTTAGGGGTCTTGCCAGCAGCAGCAGAAGACCAGAAAGAAGACAATGACTTTTCCTGGGGAGATGATGACATTTCCTGGCTTTTGGAGGTAGCTGTTCTGGAGGGGGCAATGAGTTTCTTCTGGATCCATGGCGTCTGGGCTCCTTTCCCTTTGCTGCTGCTTGTGCCACATGCTTGCACCTTGGACCTGGACATGCCGGTGCTGCAGACAAACTGTTCAGTTAGTGCTGGGACAAAGGGAGGACAAGCTACTGTCCTTGCAGCTGACCTCCAAGCTGGATTTCTAGAACTAAGCAGTAAAGCTTCTTGCTGCTTGCAGTCCTCTGAAATCCTACAAGACTGGCACTGTGAGGATTGTGTTTTCCACCTCCTAGCCTGCTTCCCTGCATCCATTAATGTCAACTGGTTCCCTTACGACCTCCAGTCTGGAGATGTATTTCTCCTGTCTAGGTTCTCTCTGCATTGGGCAGGAGTACTTCATCCCCTTTGGAAAGCCCTGCTCAAGAGAGATGCCGAACGTGCTGGCTGTGTTTGCCTCTTTTGTTGCTTCTACCACCTGATCCTGCTCGTTAGGCCTTTTGGCTAAAGCAGAAGTGTTGTGCGTGGAAGTGGGTTGAGAAGGAGCCTTTGCCAGTTCTCAGACGTGTCTTTTAAATTACACAGACTGATTCCAAAGGCCAAGGGAAAGTGTCGCCCAACTTGACACTTCCTGCTGCAGTGGGCAAGAGTTTGGATGCGCGCTCTGTTGCAGTGGAGCACGGCAAAGGTAATTTCAGAGGGACTAAATGGTTACCTTTGTACAGTTCTCTCTTTGTAAAGTGGGGTGACATGGCTGGGGAGAAAGCAGAGTGAAATAAGCCCTCAGAGTAATGACATGCCTCTTACGTCTTTTGTTAGGGGTCTTGCCAGCAGCAGCAGAAGAGCAGAAGGATAACAAAGACTTTTCCTGGGAAGATGATGACTTTTTCTGGCTTTTGGAGGTAGCTGTTCTGGAGGGGGCAATGAGGTCCCGCTGGATCAATGGCGTCTGGGCTCCTTTCCCTTTGCTGCTGCTTTTGCCACATGCTTGCACCTTGGGCCTGGACATGTCAGTGCTGCAGACAAACTGTTCAGTTAATGCTGGGACAAAGGGAGGTCAGCTAATGTCCTTGCAGCTGACCTCCCATCTGGATTTCTAGAACAAAGCAGTAAATTTTCCCGCTGCTTGCAGTCCTCTGAAATCCTACAAGACTGGCACTGTGAGGATTGTGTTTTCCACCTCATAACCTGCTTCCCTGGATCCATTAATGTGAAATGGTTTCGTTATGACCTACAGTCTGGAGATGTATTTCTCCTGTCTAGGTTCTCTCTGCATTAGGCAGGAGCACTTCATCCCTTTTGGAAAGCTCTGCTCAAGAGAGATACTGAACGTGCTGGCTGTGTTTGCCTGTTTTGTTGCTTCCGTCACCTGATCGTGCTCATTAGGGCTTTTGGCTAATGCAGAAGTGTTGTGCGTGGAAGTGGGTTGAGAAGGAGCCTTTGCCAGTTCTCAGACGTGTCTTTTAAATTACACAGACTGATTCCAAAGGTCAAGGGAAAGCGTCGACCAACTTGACACTTCGTGCTGCAGTGGGCAAGAGTTTGGATGCGCGCTCTGTTGGAGTGGAGCACGGCAAAGGTAATTTCAGAGGGACTAAATGGTTACCTTTGTGAACTTCTTTGGAGTGACATGGCTGGGGAGAAGCAGAGTGAAATAAGTACTCAGAGTAACAACACACTGTTTCCCTTTTTTCTAGGTATCGTGCCAGCAGCAGGAGCAGAGCAGAAGGAATATTTTGACCCTTCTTCTAAGAATAAGGTACTTAGCTCTGTTCCAGATGGATTGCATGGCCTTTGGCTGAAGTCAGATGTAGTGTGATGCTGCAGTCTTGGTGAGCATTCGTTTCTCCACTGTGTCTCTGTTTTCTTGCTTATTTAGGTTCCTACACTGGAGGCAGAAGATCTTCAGCTAAGATCTGATTCTTCAAGTCAAACAGATTCTCAGCTGGACAGACAGGTGACTCTAATAGAGGCAGAAGCAGATATCCCTAAATAGAGCCTGTCAGTGTAAGCAGAGGTGTTCTGACTTCGGAATTCATTTTGAAAAACTGCTGAGAGGAGGTGATTGAGTCTGGACCTGTGCTATACTTCGGACCTCATTTTGTTTGCATTCTGAAGCAGAAGGGCTGGAATAAGCCTTGCTCCAAGTCCCATCCAGCTTCACTTTGAACACTTCCACAACCGGGTCCAGTGTCCCACCACAGTCCTTGCAAACAATTTACCCCTTATGTCCCATCTAAGTCTACCCTCTTTTCATTTTAAATGATTGCCTCTTCTTCTGTCGCTACAGGCCTTGGTAAAAATATCTCTCCCTCTATTTACACTGAAAGACAGCAGTAAGTTCTGCCCAGAGCCTGCTTTTCTCAGGCTGAAAAATTCCAAGTCTCTCAGCCTTTTTCATGGGAGAGCTGTTCCAGCCCTCCAAACATCTTTGTGGCATTCCTCCGTTCATGTCTTGCTTGTGCTGGTGGCCGTGGAGCTGGATGCAGGACTCCAAGTGGAGTCTCATGAGATCAGAGTAGAAAGGGAGAATTGCCTCCCTTGACCTGCTGGCCAGCCTGATGACCAATCTAGTTATATAATCCCATCAGTAGAAGCATCTCTTGTGTTGTCATGTTCTTACCGATTTCTCCATGCTCATGGAACACTATGTCTTTAGCCATTGGTCAGGCAGCTGCTGGAGAAGCCTGATGAAGTTCTCAAAAAGAACTCCCTGGCAGAACCTTCACTTGGAGCTATGAAGACCCACAGCAAGGACCTGAAGGAAGAGAAACCGCTGATGCAGGAGAAACTGGAGAGGTCTGAAGCTAAGGTATGGGAAAGCCTGTCTCTTGGCAGGGCTCAAGGCCTTCTTTGTAGCGCACTAGAGCAGGGAAGTGATTCTTCCTTGAGAAGAACACAGGGTGGTTCAGTGTGCAGCTAGCTGTGATGGGAAGGAACAGCACTGCTGCCTTTGGTGTCTGCCTGTTGGCACGACTTGAAGTGACAGTGGAGGGCTGCACTAAGGTGGCGCAGGGACCAAAAAATTATATGCGGAAGATTTACTCGAGGAGGATAAAAGAATTTTTGCTCAGGGAAGTTTTGGCTGCTAGGAAAGGCCCAGCGTGGGGGGAGATTATTTCCCATGAAAAGCACTGTCTGTATTTCTCTGCCTGTCTGTTTAAGAAGCTAACTCCACTGTTGCAAGAAGAGGTAACACATTCTGACAGACATGTTGTGGGGCCCCTGCCAGGGGAGAGAAGAAGTCCATAGAAGGACAGGGAGAGAACACAGCCTTGAAGTTGTTGTCGTGGGGTAAAAAAGTGTTTTGCCCGGGAGTTAGAAAAGTGGTAACCCCCGAGGGGGTGGTGTTCTTGGTGTAGGGCCCAATCAGAAGCTACATTTTGCTCCTCTGAAATCAACATATTATAACAGACCGGAAAAGAAGGGAGATGATGTAGCTGGAAAAGAAGTAGCCATAATCTTTCCCTTTTGTGCCTCCGGTTCTCCATCCTGCCACAGGGGGGAGGGAGAATGGCGAGCCAGTGAGCAGCACTGTGGCTTGGAGAGTCTCAATGGGAGCACTAAACTGGGGAGTACCATTCCTAAACCACGACACCACCAACGCACTACAACTTGTGTTTGGAGTCCTTGAGAAAGGAGAGAAATGTTGTGGCAGCCCACAGGAAATGCTCTAAGAAATCAGTGTAGACATAGGAGAGGGCCCAGTATAAAAGAGGAAGAAGTAACACAGGTTTTGAGAGTTTTCATCAGTGTCAAAGCAGCCCACTTGTTTTGAACAAACGTAAGCCGTCTAGGCTTGAGGGCGTGAGGATTCTTGTTGGGGTTTGGCATCTGCAGGAACCTAAAGAGCATCATATCCAGAAGGAATGTTTTGCTGCGTCATTAAAGAGTGCCCCAAAGGAGAAGGAAATAACAACTTCCAGGAACCTGCAAGGCCTTCCTCCTTCATGCAACATGTCTTTACCTGCAGCTATCGGCCAGCTGCGAGAACGCATTCACTGGTAAGACAGTGGAGCAAAGCTTCACTTTTTGTGATTTTGTAAAAACAACGGGACTTGCTTGTATCCCAGCAAGATACTACTACATGATTTTCAAAGATGCTTTTATTTTAGATGAGGTTCTTTCACACTGTTCCTTTGGGATCTGTGCTCTTGTGGACTTCTGTCATAAGGCCTGTACTTCTTTTTCAGTCTTGAAGTTGAGTACGCCAGGCTGGAAGCCACAGTCCAGCAACAAGCCCAAACCATTGCAATAATTGAGAAGTTCAGGCAAGCCCAAAAGGTACTCGGGGCCTTCCCTTTCATGACCCACGGAGCCTAGTTCCATATTCAGGTGGGGAAATTTTACGATGAGCTTTCCCTAGAGAGAGTCTAGGAGAGATCAGTTCCTCTTTCTACTGACTGTAGACTGCCCTGAAAGTCCTGTCTGTTCCCCAGCTTCCTGGCATTTTGAGTTGTGCCGTGAGACTAAACCAAATCCTACTTATTGCTGTCTGTGTTAGGGGTTGACAGTAATGCACTTAAGTATTAGTGCATTACCAGGTTTCGGTGTTTTCTGCTTTAGACCAGTCAGGAGGTTGAGGCCTCAGACAGCAGTTCAGACAGTCCTACAGTAGAGGGATTTGGTACCTTTGCTTGTGGGCTTTCCATGGGCTCTGGTGATGCCGAGCACTTCTTCCTGGAGGAATGGCATGAAGCTGTGTCAGGGGAGGTTTACTTCAGATGTTAGGAAAAGGTTCTTCAGCCAGAGGGCAGTTGGACCTTTTCTCCATGCAGGAGACTTTCTTGGCACATAACTGCTCCAGCCACCCTCCACGTTTTACAGAACACAGGGGGCAGTTGCAAGGGAATATTTTCTATTCTTGCTATCCTGTCCACCCTCACAGCTGCTGCCAACTCTTTCTCTCCCACAGACATGCAAGTGTTCCATCATTGACAGAGGAGCAAGGCCCAAGCTGCCATAAGAAAGACAGCCATCTCTCTGTGGCAGTAACTGTGGTTTAAACATGCTTCAAAATGGCTTTTTGTAGTCTCTTTGCTGGCTCGTGCTTTCTTCTTCCCAAGACCCCCCACAACAAGTGTTATCCCATGCAGGAATGTCCTGAGAAGATATCCTGAGGTGTTCTCATTGGCCCCTTTTAACCCCTTCCTATTGGTTGTTAACCCCTTCCTGCGACCTATAATTGGTTACCCTGTGAATCTTCCTAACCCTATAAATGTAACATCCCCAACAATAACTCTCTCTTGCCTCCTCTCCACGCCAGTGTGCTGTCTCTATGCCTGCCATGGGACAGTGTGGGGAGGGGAGAGCACCTCTCCTCTCCAGGCTCAGGACCTGAAGAAACCCCTGGCGCTGGAGTCCCCCCCCCCCCCACATCCACATTAAACCGTCGGAAATGGTTCCTCAAATGGAAATGGAACTAGAACTGGTGCGCCCCTCCCCACAAGGGGGAAAGGGATCCAGATCTCTCCAGTGTAATTAACCCAGCAGTGCTTGGGCCATTTCAGCGAAGACTCCGAGGCAAACTACACGGAGAGGGGTGCTCTGGAGCTGAGAATCATGCCAAGGGAGCAAGACGAGCTCTCCTACCCATTAAGACCTGGATCCTAGGGCAGAGAGAGTCCCTTACTCTCAAGTGGGAAGCAGTGGAGCTGTGGCTCAGGGACAGCTCTGACTCAGCATGGATGGCACCAGCAGGGACTGAGTCCACCCTCACCCCTAGAACACTCCCACCCCTAGAACACCCCTACTCCTAGAACAGACTAATTTGTCTACAGTGTGAGGAAATGAAGTACCAAGTCACCACATTCCATATTGCCTAAATAGCAGCAAGAGGCAGTAAGAAATGCAAAAGAACTGCACATTTTGTGTAAAGCTTTGGAAGGCTGTAGAGACCTTTCACGCTCAGATAGCCCAAAGCAGAGCACAAAGGATCTGGCAGCAATCATTCTGGATGCACCACAGCTAAATGATAGGTCTGGCCTTGGCTGTTGCTGGTATAAGAGTGATGCGCTGAGCTGAAGGGTGATGCTGCTTGCATGCCTCTCATCTTTCATGGGTTAGCCCAGAAGGACCCACAACATGTATTATTGAGCAGTGATGATTCAGCATCTGTGGCGGAGGAAGAATCAGAGTGGGAGAAATACCAGGCGTGGAGAAAAATATATGAAAACTAAATGGACATTCTCATGCTGGACTGGACACTCACCAGATGGACAGTTTTTCTCCAGTTTCACCCCAGTTTATTGTTATATTGTTGTGAAGTTCTATGTACCCCAGTTTATTGTTGAAAATTTTATATCCTCCTTATTGTCCCCTTCTTCCCTCACATTTTCCCGCCTAAACTTGTTTACTCCCTTGTCCTTCCCTGCTTTCCTGCTCCTCTGCACCTGATTGGCCACAGTTTGCTGCAGTGCAGAGGGAGCTCCCATTGGCCCATTCCCTTAGTTACACAGGAGTTCCACCCACCTTTCCCCTATCTTCCAATCCCTGCCTTCCCTGAGCTGCCCATCTCATGCTCCTCCCCAGTTCTGGGTCCACCCCCTGAACCTACCCTATATAAGTCCCTGTTTCCTTTAATAAAGTGGCACTGCTGCACGAGACCTCAACTGTGTCAAGACCCTGATTGCAGGGTTGTGGCAAGCATCATCCTGTTGATGACAGGTTTTGAGATGGAGTATTGATGTCAGGTCATGACAAAACACTGGGAATTGCCAAGAGACTTCCATGGATGGCCCAGCAAAGACAATTGTCTTAAATCATATGAGGCTAAACCTTTACAGCAGAACTTAGATAAATAAACATTTAAAAAATATATGGCCAAATAGAAGTATTTAAATTATGTTTTTTACACATAATGTTTTAGCAACGTTTAAGCAGTTCCTGCACAGTCTTACAAAAATTCACAACTCTGATTTCTCTTAAATCCCCCAAACCAAAATGGATTTCATGATCCATATCTCCATAAGTATTTTGCAAGCATCAGTTTCAGTACTGCACAACAAATGATATAAATATTGGGTGGTTTAATGACTTTTTTAATCCTTGTTGAGGCTAAAGTAGAGCTATTATGAATAACAGGAGATATGCAGAATTCTGCATGCCTCTTTGGGTATAATTGTCTGTGGACTTCCTTCTTTCTCATTAAATTTAGCTTACATGCAGATAGTAATCTACAGCAGATATGCACAAAGTCCCAAAGTACCTGTTCCAAGTATTATTAAGTGGTGAGGCGGCACAAATTTATAGCAACACATAGTTAACTTTAGGATTTAATTTTAAATATGTAACCCCTATAAGGCATACGTCATGGTCTGTTTGGATCTCTCAAACTTACAGGACAATATATTCTGTACACTAAATTTTGTTTTATGAGCTCATTTGGAAATAAATACATCTAACAAGGGCTCAGTTCCCTTTGTACAGCCCAGTCTAATGTGAATTCACTAATTCATCACTTAATTTGTGAGGTTTCTAACTCACAAGATCTCTAATTCGTATTCAATGCAAACCTTAGCTCATATGCCGTGAGACACTGGATTATTATATTAGTTACTGGCTCAGACCAACTCAAATGTGTGTGTGTGTGTGTGGGGGGGGAACAGGTCAAATGTCGTGAAGGTGAAATAGAGCCCTGCTCCGTACCCCAGCCCCTTGGAGCCTCCTTGGGCAGCCCCGGAGCAGCTGTCAGTCACTGGCACACAGGGAGCCCTCCCCCACACCACACTCCCTGGAGCCCCCAACCCAGCCTCAGAATGGTTGGTGCACTGGAAGTCCCACCTAGGGGGGAGGGTGGCCAAAGCAGATCAAATCAACACGATGCAGCCATCGCATGGTCGCACCCTACCATCTGGACATGTAGAAGCTGGACTTGCATGCGACTTTGGGTGGTAGCTATAATTCTCTCTTTTTCTTTCTCTTTCTTTACTTCTCCTAATTTCCTTTCTTGATATCTGGGTAACTTAAAGCTGGATGGGTTGGATTATGCTAAATTGTAAGGGTTAGCATGCGCTAAGTCAATGCTTTGTGAAATGCTTTATTTTGGTTGAATGTTGCCCTTCAAACTTTTGCCAAGTTCCCTTATTTTCTGAAGTTTGCCAGTAAAAGTGTGTTATTTGACCTCCTGAGAAACGTGTGCAGCATCTTCTCTCGTGCACTCTCTCAAGGTATTAAAAGAACTCAAGGCCCCTTTAATAAACTTGGTGGGTGAATTTTTGGAGCCTCGTATATTTTTAAAGTAAAACCCCTTTGCTATGCTTGTAGCTCGAACCTGGGTTTTTACATACGGCTGTGAGTAAAATAGTTACTGGGCTGACAGCAAGAGTGCTCCTTCTTCCTCTCTATCATGGTGTGACTGTCCCTTGTATCACACTGGGAAGCAGGAATGCCTCAGCAGTCCAACTGCTGTTGAAAACTGTCTGCTTGAAAAGCTTTTTGGGTGAGCTCATGTCATTCTACCTTTCAGTTTGGAAGTTTGATCTATACTATTTCCATGAGTTGGTGGATTATGAAGAAACTGCCAAACATTAAATATGCAGGGATGATGGCTGCAGGATACTGTGAGCTGTAGGTGACAGTGGCTTCAAAATGACCTTTTGTCCCGGTCATCATGTCCTGCCTATGTGTTGCTCTCAGTTTGACCTAATGGTCCTAGCATACATCAGGCCTTAGCATGAGCAAAGTGCTAGCCAAAACCTGATCAGGAGGAGTGTGAGCGGCCACACACATCCTCGCAGGCTGCCTCATTCTGAACACCTTCCCTTTTGTTGAGTTAAATTTAATACTTACATCTTCAAGATAACATGTGGTTTTGGACAGGTATCCAGTTTAAGCAATACCTGTCCTTTAAGCTCTTCGGTTAAACCTACAACAGCTGGAACTGCCATGACTTCATTAAACACTGTATTGCTCAAAAAATTATGTGTTCTGTTGGCCTTTATTCATAGAGTCATTATCTCCAAAGTAACAAGCTCACACCTGTTCTTTTGTCACACTGCAGTTGGATTTAAGTGAGAGAGAAGAGGTTGAAGGAAGCCAGCCTTACATGTCCTCATTTGCATCCCACCTCACACGCTGAGGCTCCTGATCCATGAACATAGGCTGAGCCTTCACAGCTCATTGCATTCAAGATGCTCCAATTTGATAAGCAAAGCATAAAGGTCCAGTCCCAAGCAAATTGTACGGGCTGCACAAGAAGTCGGTAACAAAGGTAAGACTACAATTCAAAAGTCAACCTTGTCTGACAATATCACACTTAATCCTCTGGAAAATGCTGCTGAGTTACAGCAGTATGATGGGTACCACAGTCAAAGGGATTTAATGGGTTTTGGGTGAGGGAATTGCAGAGGAAAGGAGAAGAAGGACTTAGGCTTATGATGAGTTCAGATAAATCTGCGTGTAAGGGTGCAGTCTTTGGGATGAATAACCCACAGTCTGTAGGAGTTTTCGGTTGGAGTAGCTAAATGTTGAAATTCATGCTTCTGTATGTTTTCATGGACATTTATTGTAGGAATTCAAACATCTTTTATGTATATACCTCTAGTTCAAGATGAAATACAGGATAGGGAAAAGCCTAGAAGTATTTCATGTTTAATAACTCAGCAGCTGTAATGCCCTGGCCCGCTTGGCAGGTTTAGGGGAAGGTAGTTTGATTTTCTCTGGGCAGTATATGGGAGAATTAACAATATTCTCAGGAGGTTCAATAACAAACAACTTTTTACCTGCAAATTTTAGGACATCCAGATAGAATACGGCACTTGGCAAAATTTCACTTAGCCAACTTTAAAACATACAGACAGAACAAGATACTCAGCAAGACATTGACTGGATTTTTTGGCCCGGCTTACAATATATTTTGAGAAGACGAAGGTAGGAGAAGAAAGAGAAAGAAAAAGGAGGGAGAGAGATAGATAGTCACCATTGTAGGATCCAGTATGGTCTCAGCAGCTTTTAAATCCAGTGTAACAGAGTGCTCCACGCAGCACACACACGTTTCTGTCCTTTTATTGGTTCTGGTCGCCCAAGGCCCTCCCCAGGCAAGGCCATGTTAATTCCAGCACCAAAATTACACTCCTGTGCTTTACACAGAGCCAGAATGTTCCTGGAACCATTCTGGACCTTGCAGCAGCCCCAGGTGATCAACTGGCCCATCACCACGGACCTCGGGCCGACTTTTTAAATGTACGTGCACTACGCAGCACAGTGCAGGAAGGCTCAAGGGGTGGGGGGAGCAGTGCACTGCCCCACCTACGTAGAGCTCACCCTGTTCCCCCACCACTTTCCCACCTGGTTGTTTTGAGCCAGTCAACTGTTCCTCTGGCCTCCTACAGCAGCTCAGTGCTGCCAGTTTTACCTAAATAACTTTGTATCCTAACTTTACTTGAGTGTTTTCTTTAGGGGGGTTTAGAAAAAGACAAAGGGTTGTCTATAGGCAGATAGGACCCCAATTAGAAGTGTCTTGTGGGGATGACACTTCCTCTCCAAAATGATTTTTTTCTTGTGCAAGGGAAACACTATGAGACTGTGACCTGACCCTGAGGAGGTCTGTAACCTCCCTCTCTACAAACCTCTGCGAGCTTTTCTTCTTTGGACTGTTTCTGGCTGAAAGGCAATAGCAGTATTTATCCCACCAACAACATTAGTGATCGAAGTTCCCTTGCAGATAGAAGTTGTTGGAAGAGACAAGATGTAGCTAGCAGCTAAGGAGTTGCATGAAGGAATATGCAACAGGCAATGTCCTGAGAGCAAGCATCTCCCAATCCTTGTGCGTCCCAGGGAGGCCCAGAATGGAGCAACCCCAGCCTGCACAGTTTTTATTGTCAGATAATTCAAAAGCATGGGACAGAACATGAATAAAGAAGGCAGATAAAATCACTCAAGGACTAAGACACAAGAACAGATACTCGAGTGGTATGCAAGTTATGAAAGAAACTAAGCAGTCAGCTTTTTTTTTTCTACAGTAAAGAAAAATATCAGGGCTGACTGTGCTGCCCTTACTAGCTTAGTACTCTGTTGATGATCCCAGTAGAACTGTAAGGGTTTAGTGCAAATTTCAGAAGGAAACATACTTCTGGAATGAGGTGAAGAAGGATTATAAGGGATAAAAGGGCAAAAATTCATAGGATTGGTTACTTCTGATGCTCTGAGAATAATGAATAAATTCTCAGATTAAAAGTATCGAGTAATTCCAGATAATTTGTTCAACAAGCAGGATAAAATCTAACGATAATCAATAGAAGACTCAGGTGACAACTGGGAGTTCCCCTCATAGAAAATCCTCCTGTTTTCTTCGAGCTACACCAGTGAACACTGGCAAACACTGGTGATGGGATGAACAGTTAGAATCAGGGAACATTATATATAGTATATATTATATATAGTGTGAGCAGATTTTTTTTTGCCACATGCTAAATATAAAAGCTCAGATGTTCTTACACAATAACCACTGACTATGCTGGGGTTTTGATAGCAATATCTTGTTGCTTGCATATCTAAATGCTTTTAAGTCATGGTAATGAACAGTGTGCTAACAATCAAGTGGAATGCCTTGTGCCGTTTCAGGTGTCAATCTCCCTGCAACCAGCCAATTAATTGCAGTAGGGAAGCACAATATGACCCACAGAAATCATCAGGAGGCATTAAGAGTAATTGGGTTTTTCACCTGTTATTACAACTAGCATGCTTAATTCTGAATGCTGGCTGGATGACCTGCTGGGATAGCATTGAACACAGCATTTGCAGAGATGTGCTTTAGACTAGGCTGTGTGAACGAAATGCTAGATTGAATGGAATTGCCTACAATCTGGATAATTATAGTAGCACTGATTAGGGTGTTCAGTGAAACATGACTATATTTGGGTGACACCAGCTCAGGCAGGGTGTCTCTGAGGGACACAGAAGTGCAATAGGGTGTGTTTCTCCATTCTGCTTGCTGATACAATCCCTACAAGTGGTTCTTTCACATCAACTAGAACAACTTCCTTCCACTGGTATAACTGGTGAAGGATTAATCCATAGAAGGAAAAGACACTATGGTTTTGTCTCTTTTACAAGCTTTTTGGAAGCCGGCATCCAAAGCCCATGCCTTCCTTTGAGGCACAAAAGAATACTTCCCAGTTTTAGCAGGCTCTGACTTTTATTTAGGTAGTAAAAAATTGGCTCCCTATTATTTGTGAACGTTAATTGTTCCTTGATGGTGAGTTATCAGGGAATTATTTCATAAAAAATATGTGGCCTGACTCATCCACCTCTCTCAGTGGGGATCCTTGCATGTGATGGACTTTTACCATATCATTTGAAAATCAAGCATGGAAAGGGTTAGCAGTGTAAATTTAAAAAAAAGCAAACTAATGGGATTTAGCACTTAGGTATTAAACTAATCAAGACACTAAATCTTTAATTTATATTATTACGGTCTACACAACAGCCTTTTATGTGAAAAAAAAAAAAATCAATGCACATGTTACGTATTGGCATTTCCCTGAAGAGTTATTTTCTTTCCTTGCAGTTTTCTTCCACCTGCCTTCCACCTTTTTTCCTATATAAATAGAAGGAGGAAATGCAAAATCATTCCTTAAAAGGGGCTTTGTTTTCAGGAAATTGTTTGTTTCCTCTTTGGCTATGCATATGTGCCCTCTTGCTTGTGGTAGATGACTCAGAATTTGCGCCTCTGAAGTAAGCGCTCAGCAGGTATTTTAGTGTCAAGAAAGGAGGCAGATTTTCAGAAAGGCTGGGAATTTGGGGTGCTGAATTCCCTTGAAAATCTGTTTAGTGTTTCTACAAAAGCATTTATAGCCTCAACTGAAGCTGAGCTTATTTTTTGAGCTGTTGCCAATTGCTTGAATGGAACCACTGAAAACTCATTTTCTAAATTACTCCTTTTAAAGACTGCCCAAACCAATAGGAATTTTATCTCCCATATTGATGTATTTAAAAGGAACTTAAAGAGTCTAACTCTGGTGTTCAAAGGTAGTCACTAAACATAAAATAAGCAGTGGATTGAAGAGGTTAGAAATACAGTTAATTACTAATGATTGCTGGGATTAGGATATGGTAAACCATGGGAGACTTCCAGCCTGCCTCCTATTCAAAGCCTGCCCTTGCCTTAGAGGAAACAGGAACAGATTATCTCCAAAACACTGTCCATACGAGGGTAAAACACAGTCTCCTGGGAAACAGCTGTACATTAGTTATGTTATTTATTTTTTTCATCTGGGCGAACATTCTTGATTATTGTAGCATGTACTTCAGACTTTCTCAAAAAGACGAAATTTCAAGATGACTCATATGTTGTGATTTTGATACTACAGGCTCTTCCCCTGCTCCAGTGTGGGGTTCCTCCCACGGGAGACAGTCCTCCACGAACTCCAGTCCTCCAACCTGAGTCCCTCCCACGGGCCACAGCTCCAGTCTGGGTCCCTACCGGGGCCACAATTCCTGCTAGCAAATCTGCTCCAGGCTCCTGCTGGGAGCCTACTGCAGCACGAGCCTCCCACGAGGTCACAGTCTCCTTTCAGGCATCCATCTGCTCCAGCGTGGGGTCCTCCATGGGCTGCAGGTGGAGCTCTCCTGTACCATGAGCTTCCCTGGGCTGCAGGGGCACAGCTGTCCCACCATGATCTGCACCACGGGCTGCAGGGGAATCTCTGCTCCGTTGCCTGAGCAACTCCTTCCCCTCCTTCTTCACTGACCTTGGGGTCTTCAGGGCTGTTTCTGTCACATATTCTCACTTCTCTCTCCGTCTGCAGTTGCTGTTGTGCGCTGTTCCCCCCCCCCCCCTTCCTATGTTATCCCAGCTACACCCTCCCCAATGGACTCGGCCCTGCTCAGCGGCGGGTCGGTAGTATAACATCCAGCTGAGGAAGAGGCTTTGGGGGCCAGGGGCCAGTTAATCTCCCTGGTCCTTGAAATGGAGAGGGGGTCTATCAGATGAGACAGTAGCCAGCAGGGGTGAGTTACTCCACAGATAGAATAGGCACCTGTAGCATGAGCATGCCTGTAGTGAGGATTTAGTCTCCACTACTCTAGGACTGCAGTATGTTTTGTGTGTGTGTGACTCTTTAGCAGCTGTCTATGAATACGGTTAGAATGGCACATGCATGGCTGTTGCTCTTCCCGTGGAAAGTGCAGGAAAGTCTGGGGGCATTTTTACCTATTGCATTTCCTCCCTTTCTATCTTTAGTATTGCTAATGAAGGAGAGGAATATGAATGCTCTGAAAGGAAGGGACAATGTTCTGCCAGAGGCACAGAAGAAATTAACAGCTCTTGCTCTGGGACAACTGCTGACATTCTCTCAAATACACCTGCATTGCCAGAATCATGTAAGACTCTTCGCTATCAAGGAGGTAAGAAGGAAAAATCAATGTGGCCTGTAGGAGAATGATAACCCACCAGTGTGATGCATGTCTTGAGGGAGGTGCCAAAGCAGAGGAAAATCAGCACTCCAAGGAGTGATGCGACTCTTCTCATATTTGTTAGGTGTCTTGCCAGGAGTGAGAGAAGAGCAGAAGAAAGACAAAGACTCCTCCTGGGATTCTGAGGTACCTTCTCTAGAGGAGGCAGTGGGGTCCCTCTGAATCACTGGCTTCTGGGATCATTACTGTCTGCAGCTGCTTTTGCCAAATGCTTGTAAGTCAGACCTTGACATGCCAGTGCTGCAGACAAACTGTTCCGTTAGGACTGGGACAAAGTGAGGTTCAGCTGGTTCTCCTTGCAGCTGACCTCCAAGCTGGATTTCTAAAAAAGGACAAAGCAGTAAAGTTTCTGTTAGAAGACTGGCTTGGTGAAGATTGTTGATTTTCTATCATACCGCAAACATCTTCCACTCCAGTCACTGTCAATTGGTTCCCATATGACTCACAGTCTAGAGACTTCTTTCTTCTGCCTGCATTCTCTATGGATTGGGCAGGAGTACTTCATCCCCTTTGGAAAGCCCTGCTCAAGAGAGATGCCGAACATGCTGGCTGTGTTTGCCTGTTTTGTTGCTTCCATCACCTGATCCCGCTTGTTAGGTCTTTTGGCTAAAGCAGAAGTGTTGTGCGTGGAAGTGGGTTGAGAAGGAGCCTTTGCCAGTTCTCAGACGTGTCTTTTAAATTACACAGACTGATTCTGAAGGTCCCTGGGAAAGTGTCGAAAAATGTGCTTCCTGCTGCAGTGGGCAAGAGTTTGGATACGCGCTCTGTTGCAGTGGAGCATGGCAAAGGTAATTTCAGAGGGACTAAATGGCTACCTTTGTAAACTTCTCTGGGGTGACATGGCTGGGGAGAAAGCAGAGTGAAATAAGCCCTCAAAGACATGCCTGTTACCTTTTGTATAGGGGCCTTGCCAGCAGCAGGAGAAGAGCAGAAGGAAACAATGACTCCCCCTGGGAGGATACTTTTTCTGGAGGAGGTAGCTGTCTCTGGAGGGGGCATTGATCTGGATCCATGGCGTCTGAGCTCCTTTCCCTTTGCTGCTGTTTTTGCCACACGCTTGCACCTTGGACCTGGACATGCCAGTGCTGCAGACAAAGTGTTCAGTTAGTGCTGGGACAAAGTGAGGTCAAGCTAATGTCCTCTGCAGCTGACCTCCCAACTGGATTTCTAGAACAATGCAGTAAAGCTTCTTGCTGCTTGCAGTCCTCTGAAATCCTCCAAGACTGGCACTGTGAGGATTGTGTTTTCCACCTCCTAGCCTGCTTCCCTGGATCCATTCATGTCAAATAACCTCCAGTCTGGAGATGTATTTCTCCTGCCTCAATTCTCTCTGCATTGGGCAGGAGTACTTCATCCCCTTTGGAAAGCCCTGCTCAAGAGAGATGCCGAATGTGCTGGCTGTGTTTCCCGTTTTGTGGCTTCCTCCACCTGATCCCGCTCGTTAGGCCTGTTGACTGAAGCTGAAGTGCTGTGCGTGGAAGTGGGTTGAGAAGGAGCCTTTGCCAGTTCTCAGACGTGTCTTTTAAATTACGCAGACTGATTCCAAAGGTCAAGGGAAAGTGTTGCCCAACTTGACACTTCGTGCTGCAGTGGGCAAGAGTTTGGATGCGCGCTCTGTTGCAGTGGAGCACGGCAAAGGTAATTTCAGAGGGACTAAATGGTTACCTTTGTAAAGTTCTCTGGGGTGACATGGCTGGGGAGAAAGCAGAGTGAAATAAGCCCTCAGAGTAATGACATGCCTCTTACGTCTTTTGTTAGGGGTCTTGCCAGCAGCAGAAGAAGAGCAGAAGGATAACAAAGACTTTTCCTGGGGAGATGATGACATTTCCTGGCTTTTGGAGGTAGCTGTTCTGGAGGGGCAATGAGTTTCTTCTGGATCAATGATGTCTGGGCTCCTTTCCCTTTGCTGCTGCTTTTGCCACATGCTTGCACCTTGGACCTGGACATGCCAGTGCTGCAGACAAACGGTTCAGTTAGTGCTGGGACAAAGTGAGGTCAGCTAATGTCCTGGGTCTCCTTGCAGCTGACCTCCCAGCTGGATTAATAGAACAAAGCAGTAAAGCTTCCCGCTGCTTGCAGTCCTCTGAAATCCTACAAGACTGGCACTGTGAGGATTGTGTTTTCCACCTCCTAGCCTGCTTCCCTGGATCCATTCATGTCAAATGGTTCCCTTATGACCTACAGTCTGGAGATGTATTTCTCCTGCCTCGGTTCCCTCTGCATTGGGGAGGAGTACTTCATCCCCTTTGGAAAGCCCTGCTCAAGAGAGATGCCGAACGTGCTGGCTGTGTTTGCCTCTTTTGTTCCTTCCATCACCTGATCGTGCTCATTAGGGCTTTTGGCTAAAGCAGAAGTGTTGTGCGTGGAAGTGGGTTGAGAAGGCGCCTTTGCCAGTTCTCAGACGTGTCCTTTAAATTACACAGACTGATTCCAAAGGTCAAGGGAAAGTGTTGCCCAATTTGACACTTTGTGCTGCAGTGGGCAAGAGTTTGGATGCGCGCTCTGTTGCAGTGGAGCACGGCAAAGGTAATTTCAGAGGGACTAAATGGTTACCTTTGTAAAGTTCTCTGGGGTGACATGGCTGGGGAGAAAGCAGAGTGAAATAAGCCCTCAGAGTAATGACCAACCTGTTATCTTTTGTTAGGGGTCTTGCCAGCAGCAGGAGAAGAGCAGAAGGAAGACAATGACTCCCCCTGGGATTCTGAGGTACCTGCTCTGGAGGTGGCAGTGAGGTCCCGCTGGATCAATGGCTTCTGGGCTCCTTTCCCTTTGCTGCTGCTTTTGCCCCACGCTTGCACCTTGGACCTGGACATGCCAGTGCTGCAGACAAAGTGTTCAGTTAGTGCTGGGACAAAGTGAGGTCAAGCTAATGTCCTGGGTCTCCTTGCAGCTGACCTCCCAGCTGGATTTGTAGAACAAAGCAGTAAAGCTTCTTGCTGCTTGCAGTCCTCTGAAATCCTACAAGACTGGCACTGTGAGGATTGTGTTTTCCACCTCCTAGCCTGCTTCCCTGGATCCATTCATGTCAAATAACCTCCAGTCTGGAGATGTATTTCTCCTGCCTCAGTTCTCTCTGCATTGGGCAGGAGTACTTCATCCCCTTTGGAAAGCCCTGCTCAAGAGAGATGCCGAATGTGCTGGCTGTGTTTCCCGTTTTGTGGCTTCCTCCACCTGATCCCGCTCGTTAGGCCTGTTGACTGAAGCTGAAGTGCTGTGCGTGGAAGTGGGTTGAGAAGGAGCCTTTGCCAGTTCTCCGACGTGTCTTTTAAATTACACAGACTGATTCTGACGGTCCCTGGGATGTGTCGAAAAATGTGCTGCTTCCTGCTGCATTCGGCAATAGATTGGACGCGCGTGCTGTGTTAGTACGGAGCGGCAAAGGTAATTTCAGAGGGACTAAATGGCTACCTTTGAGAACTTCTCTGGGGTGACATGGCTGGGGAGAAAGCAGAGTGAAATAAGCACTCAAAGACATGCCTGTTACCTTTTGTATAGGGGCCTTGCCAGCAGCAGAAGAGCAGAAGGAAGACAATGACTCCCCCTGGGATACTAAGGTACCTTCTCTGGAGGAGGCAGTGAGGTCCCGCTGAATCAATGGCGTCTGAGCTCCTTTCCCTTTGCTGCTGTTTTTGCCACACGCTTGCACCTTGGACCTGGACATGCCAGTGCTGCAGACAAAGTGTTCAGTTAATGCTGGGACAAAGTGAGGTCAAGCTAATGACCTGGGTCTCCTGGCAGCTGACCTCCCAACTGGATTTCTAGAACAATGCAGTAAAGCTTCTTGCTGCTTGCAGTCCTCTGAAATCCTCCAAGACTGGCACTGTGAGGATTGTGTTTTCCACCTCCTAGCCTGCTTCCCTGGATCCATTCATTTCAAATGGTTCCCTTACGACCTACAGTCTGGAGATGTATTTCTCCTGCCTAGGTTCTCTCTGCATTGGGCAGGAGTACTTCATCCCCTTTGGAAAGCCCTGCTCAAGAGAGATGCCGAATGTGCTGGCTGTGTTTCCCGTTTTGTGGCTTCCTCCACCTGATCCCGCTCGTTAGGCCTGTTGGCTGAAGCTGAAGTGCTGTGCGTGGAAGTGGGTTGAGAAGGAGCCTTTGCCAGTTCTCCGACGTGTCTTTTAAATTACGCAGACTGATTCCAAAGGTCAAGGGAAAGTGTCGACCAACTTGACACTTCGTGCTGCAGTGGGCAAGAGTTTGGATGCGCACTCTGTTGCAGTGGAGCATGGCAAAGGTAATTTCAGAGGGACTAAATGGTTACCTTTGTAAAGTTCTCTGGGGTGACATGGCTGGGGAGAAAGCAGAGTGAAATAAGCCCTCAGAGTAATGACATGCCTCTTACGTCTTTTGTTAGGGGTCTTGCCAGCAGCAGCAGAAGAGCACAAGGATAACAAAGACTTTTCCTGGGGAGATGATGACATTTCCTGGTTTTTGGAGGTAGCTGTTCTGGATGGGGCAATGAGTTTCTTCTGGATCAATGATGTCTGGTCTCCTTTCCCTTTGCTGCTGCTTTTGCCACATGCTTGCACCTTGGGCCTGGACATGCCAGTGCTGCAGACAAATGGTTCAGTTAGTGCTGGGACAAAGTGAGGTCAGCTAATGTCCTGGGTCTCCTTGCAGCTGACCTCCCAGCTGGATTAATAGAACAAAGCAGTAAAGCTTCCCGCTGCTTGCAGTCCTCTGAAATCCTACAAGACTGGCACTGTGAGGATTGTGTTTTCCACCTCCTAGCCTGCTTCCCTGGATCCATTCATGTCAAATGGTTCCCTTATGACCTACAGTCTGGAGATGTATTTCTCCTGCCTCGGTTCCCTCTGCATTGGGGAGGAGTACTTCATCCCCTTTGGAAAGCCCTGCTCAAGAGAGATGCCGAACGTGCTGGCTGTGTTTGCCTCTTTTGTTCCTTCCATCACCTGATCGTGCTCATTAGGGCTTTTGGCTAAAGCAGAAGTGTTGTGCGTGGAAGTGGGTTGAGAAGGAGCCTTTGCCAGTTCTCAGACGTGTCCTT